AAAGAATTAAATTATGTTTGGGTAGGGCGAGTGAAAGTGAAAGCAAATGTCCTTGCTATTATGTGGGATTTTGCTCCTGCTAGGTACATGACCATTTTGAAGGATTCTAGGTGAGCCTATGGATCCTAGGTTTCATCATACTGGCCAAGCTTGTACTTTTGATAGCTTATGGAAAATTTGAATCCATGACCCAGTCTATGAAAAGGGTTGTCATGGTCAATGTTTTGGTCATGGTGCTCCTGATGAGTAGCATTCTGGTTTGACCCGTTTGCTCCAGCATAACTACCATCATCTTGGCCCCTATTAGCTCAACCTTGGCCTTGTTGTTCAGTGGTTCACCCTTGAACGGTGCTCCTTGTCGTCTATACGTTGGATTATGAATGCTAGAACAGTTTACATAAGGTTAATAGTGTTTGCAACTACTTAAAGGGTGGCCTGGGCTTGTGTTGAGGCTAACTCATTCTTTTCTTCACTAACATGGACATTCATCTCAGTCTAGTTTGAGATTGGTTTTTGCTAGTTAGGTTGGCTGTTCTAAAGCGCGTTCTCCTTCGATTGCTGGTTAGGTGGTGGCGACAACTGTAACACCTCGTGTATACCCGGTTTGTTATCATGTCATCATATTAAGTCACGCTTAATTAAAAATGTGGAATAAACTTTTTCTTTTCAATTATGACATCATTAACAATTACCAAGTTGATTACTTAATCATTTTAAAACATTGTCTGTATGTAATTGCAAATAAACAGCTATCTACACTGAATAATCTCATAATATAAATATGTGAGTATCTAAGTCACGAAACTACAACATGTAGTCCGGACCATAATCCAGATACATTAATACAACTCAAGGCTAAGATAAGACATAGACAATCAATGTGGCATGGACAACCCCCATGCTCACCAAATAAGGCAACAAAACCCAACAGAGTCTCACAACAAATAACAGGATGATAAATATAAGCATGTCATCACCCAAGCACATCATCATGAACATCAGATATCTAACTCAGCTCCGGCCTCCTGCCGCCCGAGGTCTCAACCCCCGAGTTACCTGAACCTGAAATATGTGCCCCAAACGTGGGGTGAGATCTCTAAACAGAAATCTCAATAAGGCAAGGGGTCCTCGAAGATTTCTCCACCCCAAGCTCACTTACATGTGCAATATAAGTTCTAAAAGCAATATACAATATCAGTTCCAAAAATCAGTGCAATGCAACAGATAATCATGTCATGTGTGTCAAGATATTCTACTAGCCGAGAAATGCAGGATTTATATACGTCTATTACCCACATTTAGTGCAAGACGCCACTTGCATCCACCCATAGAATCACTGTATTGTATGACGCCACATACTCAAGCTTACCGTCTAGATGTAACAACACATGCATATTATAAGGCCCTTGCACATAACAAATCAACAACATTTCAAAATCAATACATGAAAACACACCATGCATATAAACCATTTCCCCATGGGGTATGGTGGAACCAACAATGGCTAAACCGAGGACACGAAAGCTTACCTCTAAGCAATCAATCCAATCCAAGGTCCACACAAGCTCAAAGTCCACACACAACACAATCACAATCTGTTTGGACCAATAATCATATCAATATTCAAACTCTACAAGCATATGAATTAAAGACAATGCCTTCCTTTTATGTTTCATGTCTGTAGGCTTCTCACAAAGCCATAAGCCCTTAATCACTATGATTCTGACTTAGATTAATCATTACAGAAGTCCACATTAACCAATCATGGGTCCACAAACCCAAAATTCCATTCTGTATGAACAGTACAGCTACTACCTCGAAATTCCCAGAATATTCGGATATATGTCAGGTCCATATCTGGATATCCATATTCGGATATCACAAGACCCCATATCCGAATATCATATCCAGATTTCAATATCCGGATACCATATCCGGATATTTCGCGACAGAATGCAGTTCTGCATTTCGCGAGATATCCATCCCAAAGGTTGCTCTTTTAACGATTCTAGAAGCTTAAACATGCATTTCTAGGTGTGTTTAACCTTACCCAACCTTAAGTTCTTATCTTTTAATCATTACATGCATCAAGTTTCATTTATAACTAAGAAAATTCAAGAACAAAGGTGGTGAGGCTTACCCAAGCTTAAAACAGAAAGGAGAGATGCTCTTGGAGCTCTCAAAACAGCCACAATGTTCTGACCTCTAAGGGAAACGAAAATGACAAGCAAGCAAGGTCCTTTCTTACTAAAGATGGCTTCTTGAAACTCAAAATACCACCACAATGGCTCCCTCAATCCTCACCATGAAGTCAGCCCCAAGACCTCACCAAGACAGTGGCTGGAATCAGAAATGGGACACTCATCTCCTTCACAATGCTAACCCACACCCAACCAAGTGTTTAGATGAAGAAAATAAGAGGAAAGGTGAAGACTTGGGAAGTTTTTAAGCACAAATTCCTAAGGAAGAAGGTGGCAGCAGCAAGGCTCAGCAACACTCACGTAGGATTCTGACCTAGGATCATGTGCCAAGGCCTTATATAGGTCATTTAAGCTTTAATCGCACTGTATTAGCGCTAATAGCTACACTTAGTATTTTAATCTCAAACTTAGGATTATGAACCTACTCATTTTTCTAAGATTTTTCATATTTTTATTTTATTTTTCGCAGCACCTTTTTGGTACGCGCTTTTACTTAGCCAGTATCTGTTCTGACGCCAGTTCTCATTATTTCGACTTGAAACTTGTTTTACTAGTCCTATATATTATTCTAGTGACATATACATACTTTTCATAATTTTCTGGGATACTTCATCGGTACGCATTTATACTGTGAGGCAGAACCGATATCTGCACTTTTCGTCAGGAAAACGACTTTCAACATTATTAATTACTTAGCATAATTATTTAAGTCTTCTCATAATTATTAGGGTCAATTATGAAATTATCTCATTAATCTCATAATTAAATCATTAAATTCCTAAATTAACGGTGCGGGTTCTTACAACAACGACGATGGTTGTTGGCTGTTAACCACACTGCGTGTGTGCTCCATTGTGGATCAAGAATCAAAATTTAACAATTCCTACAGATGATGCCAATAATCGATTCGAGAAGATCGTGAATGTATACCCTATGGTCGTAATTAATTTGTGATATGTATGTCGCGATAGTTTAAAAAATAGACGACGCATAGGTTGAAAGTTCACGATTGATTAAGAGGCTCAAGGTCGAACGACATGGGTGTGTGCATAGTGCCACCTACAAGAATAGGGTTCAAAAAGTGTATACATTAGAGACTCAATCCGTTATATATAAATGGGCTTATTTGTAAGGGGTCTATGGTAGGGGAATTTTTTTAGATACTCAGGAAAGTAAGGATGGATTTCCGAGAAAATCATATTTGGTATCACATTTCAAAAAATTTACCTTGGAAAGTGATTTACCTGGGAATCCGTTTTGTGTGTAAATTGTGAATGGAAATTTCATCCAAAAAGAGGGTGGTATTATTGGATTGCTGGGAAAATAGAAAAAAGTAGGTGAAAAAGCTGACAAGAATCAGGAAATTTATCCAATATTTTCAATATTATTTTTTAGGGAAGGATATTGTAACAACCAACTAGTGTTACTACCACCAATCAATTTCACCGTAAGATTGATTATGTTGATCCGACGGTTATATTTATTTTCACCTTTGTATGGTTATGATTTTTCATATTTAATACTTTCACATTAAATATGGGGAATCATAACTGTACAAAGATGGAAATAAATATAACCGTTGGATTAACATAATCGATCTAACGATGAAATTGATTTGTAGTAACATTGGTAATAACACTAGTTAGTTGTTATAATATCCTACTCCTTATTTTTTACCTACTAAACAGCTTTTTGGTAACATTTTCGAAAAATTTACTTTCTCACTATATTTCCAAGAATAAAAATTCTTGGATAAAAAAAAAATTTCTTTATCAAACGCCACCTAAATGTGAGAGTCTAAGCGGGAGTTATTGAAGGATAAGATGATGTGACATCCATATGTTGAATAAAAAAGAACTTTGATACATAACTTTCTCTATGAATTAATAATACAAAGTATGTATTTTTTTTCATTACACAATAAATTTAAGGGTTATATTTATGGGTTTGCTTTTTCTGCAGTAAGTCCAATACGACGTCGTTTTGGAACGGAAATCATGGTATTTTTGTAATTTTAATTTATTTCAGGGTTATAATAATTTTTATATTTATAATTTTTTAAGATTTAAATACCAAAATGACGTCGTTTTGAAAATAAATGCAGATAGCTTATCTGCATTAATTGCAGAAACATTTTTCCCTATATTTATCTCATATTACATATGAGAAGCCAATTTGCTACACACACAAAAAAGAGGTGGGTCCCACTTTTATTTTTTCTCTCTACTCTTACCTGTGAATCCCACTTATAATTTTGTTTCTACTACATAAGAGAAATTTTTTTCTACAACATAGCATAAGAAAATTATTTCCCTAAATTCCCTGAATGCCACAAAGTTTAATGATTAGTCGGCATGCCTGAGCTTCAATTTTCAAATGGAATTTTAATTTTACAAACCCAAAACGGAGACGGCGGCCAGCTATGACAACGTGGGAACAGTTACCGCAATTCCCGCCTATTTTGGCTGTAATTTCCTTATCTTCTTAGAAAAAAATAATTAAAGAAATTCAGATAATTAATTAATTATATCAATAAAATGAAATTTAGAGAACAAAGAAAAGGCCTATTAGGGTATCAAGGGCCGGTTAGAAGAGAAGGTTCCTTTGACTTATTTACGTGCAATAAATTCATTACCATACTTTTCCATTACATTTGCCTTCAAATTAATGACTAATCCATCATTATTAATGTGCATTGACTTGACAATCCATAAAATATTTTATCGTTACATAAAAATTTTTGAAAAAATATACATATAAACATTCAACTTCTCCTTCTTTCATTAGCCCTCACCAAAATTCAACATCTGAAATGTTCCTTCTTTAAGAAATTCAAAAACAGATCCGAAATTCGGGTAAACCTCTGGAAATTCGGAGTTGTCATTGGAAAAGGAAGAAAAAAACCACATCCGATCCAAGCACTTGTTCGGATCTTTCAACCCTTCCCTCCCCTGTTACCAACACACCCAATTTTCCGTGTCACAAGTTTAGCGATTTTTTCAGAAACCGACTCAAATCGCAAAAGGGTCTTCGATCTGAACATTTTAGACAAAAGGGTATCTATCTATCTATCCATCCATTAGAACACTGCACACTGCACTATTGGATAATCTAGTTTTCTTCAAAAACAGTGTTTGAATAAGTCACAGAAAGAAATGAGCAAGAAACAAGCAGTGAACTTGGACGACGAGCAAATCGCGGAGTTACGCGAGATTTTCCGTTCATTCGATCGGAACAACGACGGAAGCCTCACACAATTGGAGTTAAGTTCGCTTCTACGATCACTGGGTTTGAAGCCAAGCCCTGAGCAATTAGAGAGCTTTATTCAGAAGGCTGATACCAACAACAACGGACTTGTAGAATTTTCGGAGTTTGTGGCGTTGGTGGCGCCGGAGCTTCTGCCGGCAAAGTCGCCGTACTCTGAGGAGCAGCTGAGGCAGCTGTTCAGAATATTTGATAGAGATGGAAATGGGTTCATCACTGCGGCGGAGTTGGCTCACTCTATGGCAAGACTTGGCCATGCTCTCACGGCGGAGGAGTTGACTGGGATGATTAAGGAGGCTGATACTGATGGTGATGGCAGAATCAGTTATCAGGAGTTTGCTCAGGCTATAACTTCTGCTGCTTTTGATAATTCATGGGCTTAACAACCCACTCTTCTTGTTTGCAGGTAATAAAAATTAACCCTTTAATACTTTGTTTTATGTGTCGAATGAAATTATTATCAATCTATATATGCTTTGCTTTTGTTTTTTCAAATTTTATGTGATTCGATTATATGGAAAGTCTCACTTACAACACAAGCATCATTCACGCGCTCAAATGTGATTTTGAACGGTTGTGAAAAGAGAGCTAGGTCTGTATGATATAGTATCTAGATGTATGAGTATTTAAGGAGGGAATGGTATTAGACCAAAACTAAGGAGAGTTACCTAAGCGGTCACAGAGGTGGCTGCGAAAGTGGGGGGTGCATGAAGGCTATGGTGGCTATAAAATTCGGAAGAGTGACAATTTTTTAGAAGTGTGTGATATCAGGTTCTCTAACGATAAGAGAAAGAGAATGTGTTAGAAAATTCACCATGTACCATGGTGAGCTGTGGAGGGAAAACAGGAATCACCTATAAGGTGTTGATGGCTAGACCAATAACGGCCGACCTATTATACTAGGCCTGTGTGGACCGGCCCAGTGTAATAGGTAAATATGATGTATATGGACTCACTTATAAGGTGTTGATGAGCTGGACCTGTAATGGCTGACCTATTATACTGAGCCTGTGTGGACTGGCCGCAACATAGTAAAAAGAAAAATCATAATGTTGGTTCAAAGATATGTTTTTGAATCTATTCCCCTGTCATGGCCGTATGTGAATTGTGATTATTTGTTTATACTTGTATTTGGAGACCAGATGCATGTTTGTAATTGTAAGCATCACTTGCTAAGTTGTAATTGATTGACAATTTTGTTGTACTGGTTTTAAGTTGGAGCATTTGTTTGTTCTGTTATTTTAGTTTACGCGAATTTTACAATTTAGAAAACAATATGCTAATAAGGACATACTTATATATGTTTATATGGATTCACATATTACTTCACAGAATATTATATCCAATTCTAAATTCACTATAACTTTCTTAGAAATTGTAGACTAAATGCATTTTTTTTTTTTTTTTGGGGGGGGTGGGGGGTGGTGTTTCGAAACTATATACGTATATCAATAAATATTCTTATTACTAACTGAGGAGTTAACTTCACATTGAAGCACGTCTTACTTTTGTGTTCTTGCTATTAAGATTGTAACTAAAAAAGTGATCTATTGAAGAACCTTACTAATGCTTAAGATATTGCATCCACTTCTAACTTGCTTTTCTTGCAGATTAGACAGCGAAACTTGGATTGATTCAAGGCACTGCCATATGTCTAAATAGGGTCCAAGCCTCTACATGAGTCATATTTCTGTAGACAGTGGTGCTAAACTAGTGATCGAGCTAGTGCTTAGGTTTGAGTTAGAAGATTTTGAATGCTATTTGATACCCTTTTCGTATCCGAGGAGGAGGAGCCTGGACATTAAATTTTTGGGTCTTGTGGCGATGTTGAAAGTTGATGGTTTTTAAAAATTACTGATAAGCAAGTATTTCATGGTATTATCATATCACAGCAGAATCACAAGAAACACCAAAATAGATTTGTTTCAAGAATTTTTCGGAGTTACTATCATTGTTTTTCATTAGGGGTGAGCAAAGAACCTCAAAACCAAATCGATTGCTATCTTAAATTCCAGAAATTCTTTGTTATAGAAAGGTAAACTTATTACAACAATGCGGTTACTTGTTTAGTTTTTTTATCAAACAATTCAAGTGTTCTCTCTCTCTCTCTCTCGGTCAAACTGAGTATTTTTTATATTTTTTTCTCATTTACTTTCATGTCCCGGCCGTCAATAGAGGAAAATACCACAATGCTAACTACTCTAAACCATGGAAACTAACATCTTAGAATTCAAAAAGACCAAAGTTGTGGGATATGAAGTATAAAAATAGCAACAATATAACAAATGGTAGCAACAACAGCCTAATAAAATACATCAGAATCTTTCCTACTTTAATGGTTATTTAATTGTTATAAACTAATAAATTGTTATATTTGTTTAGGAATTCGGAGACCGTTTCATGCTGAGAATAACCAACTAGCAAACTGTTACATTAGGAAAATCACAGCATGCAAAGAAGAGTTCCATTAGGTTGGAAGGCTTTGCTGCATAGGTGGTACGTGGGAAAATATGAGCTAAGGCTGTTAGCTGAGTCAAGCTATGAGATTGGAAGTTAGGGATGTACTGTTAGTACGTTACTATTGCTATTAGTACGGTTAATAGGATGATAAGTCGGTAGGGTTGTAAGTCTTGGTGGTAAGATGTATGAAAAAGTCTGTAAACGTAAGACCAGTATGAGGAATACAAACTTTAGTTTTCTTCCTTGCATCACATTCTCTCATGCTAGGGTAGAGACCCTAACAAACATACTAAATTAATCTGGGTTAAATTGCAACAACAGCAACAACAATGTCTTACATCATGCTCTACTATTTTTTTTCTTTTTCAAAACAGATTATTAGCACTAATCCTTGGCCGGTTCCTTTTAATTCAACCCCTATTACCACCTTGTGTGTGCGCTAAGAGATCATGGCCTATACTTTCAGTTACCCAAATTTGATTTTCTTTTACAAATTTTTTTTCTATGGAGGTCACACTATGTTATTACCAAGACATGGTAACACTTCAACAAAGTGCTTTGCAAACTTATAATTTTGGGCTATGGTTTAAGACAAAGACGAACATGACCTACATGAATACCCCTGGTTACAACACAGCCCAAAACAGAGGAGCGTATTTCTCTTTTTCTTTTATGCATCAAGGGGTCATATTTTTCCTACACAATTTTTCTTCAAGCTTATTAAATAGGCATTACGGGCACCATCTTTTAGTCCTAAATCCTCTCCTACTACCAATCTTTTTGAACCAATCGCTCGTGTCATTTTTGTTATGGTTTGGTTTAGCCTAAAATTGATTCAAGCCTTGGATTAGTACCAGAAGTTAAAAAAAAATTCAAAATTTTCAAGTTCTTCCACAAAAATTATAGGGCATTTCAAATTTTCAGCAAATTACTGCTACAGCCAACCCAGAAACATTAGCACATACAAAAGCCCTATTTCTAACGGCCAACACATGCATGATCACAGTCAATTAATTTCAATGATCAAGTCAGCCATAGAAACATACCATGATAAAACAGTAAATTAAAAACAGATTGAATTCACAAATTCAGCATTGCATCATTTATAGAGGCCATTTTAACAACAAATGATTCGAGCTGAACCTTTAAAACATAACTATATGTAGTTCAGGCAAAATTTCTAGCATATCGCTTTCAACTTATCCATGTAGCTCTATGTAGGATCGAAGAAATAAACATATAATCTGGACGCAAACTGTTACTGGAAGACAACGAAAAAAACTTTTTTTTTTTTTTCTGGGGTGAGTAAACAAAAGTTAAAGCGCTTGTCAATTCCATGCACGAGCACATACAAAGTAATATTTCCATTTCCTAGCATGAAATGTTAAAAGATACATTAGTTGTTTAAACAAAATAAATTGTGCAACAAACGGTCAACAAAAATTATGCCTTCTTCTTTTTCGATTTGAGCATCACGAATCCAATAAATATACATAAGAAGCAAAGAAGTGCCACCCCAGCAGAAACTGGTATTAGTATAGCATATTCTTGGGGTAAGAAATACTTGTGTACGAAATGATCACCATCTACAAATGGCTGAAAGAGCACAATATCAATAAAGAAGTTATTAGGAAGTTAAAATTGGAAAGCCATAATTCATTTGAAATACTTGGCAAGTTACTAACCAGGATGATAACCCAGAATGTATAGTAAGTAAATATCGATATGCTAATAAACGATAACAGAAATCCAACTGCTCTGTCCGCTAATTCCATTTTGATGGCTATTGTTCTCACTTCCTGCTGACAACAAAAGACACAAATGACTACTCACATTCACAATATTAGACACTTGAAACAAATGTCAACAGTTATCCATAAACCCAACAGTAACCATCAACAAAATATTGTTAGCACTTGGCACAAATAAATTCTTGAGTCTGCAACTAATTGAAAGGAATTCAAACCTTGTAATTGAATGCTGTGGTGCCTTTCAGTGTTTCACTCACATGAATCTAAGGTCAGTCTAGTACAAGCCAATTTTGGTAAGGAAAATAATTTTCAAATTTCCCAAATTTGGATATCTCATGGATTGTTTGAATACAAAAAATGTAAACATGATTAGACCTTACTATAAATGTTCGGATTAAAAAGAAATTTTTATATATGTTAAAATTTAAAAAATTATCAAAAATTAAATGTATATACTTCATATTTATTACTCTAAAAAGGAAATTAAAAATTAATATTTCATAATAAAAATTTACATCAAGTTTATTAATGCGAAAGTTAAGTTGGAAGATTTGGAACATTTGTCAGAAATTCAGATTGAATAGGATCCTAAATTTTAGACCATAATAGATTAGACAATATCCTCTCCTGCATCAGTAGTAATCAAAAGCACGTATACTGGATAATTCTATTGGTGGGAAAGAAGCTTTTATCCAAGAAGGTACTACACTTTTGTGTTGAAAATTGAAATATGAAAAGAATGACCAGATTATTTCTGAACTTGGGTCTTGGAAATATGAAAATAGAACTCCAGTAAAAAAAAGGTTATATGTGCAAATACCAAAAAAAAGCTTAGTATGGCTGTGTCAAAAGGAAAGTCATTGGCATAGCTGTGATACTCATCATAGCAGTCTCTGGCTAATAAGTCCAGCGAGTTTGAATGAGATAAATCTGTCATTATAGCAAACTCATTCTGTTGAAAGTGGCATCTCAGAATATTTTAGCACTGATAGAAGAAAAGGATTCTCTACTGAAAGATCTTGAACTGTCATGCTTAAGGATAAGCTGTCCATGGCAGTTATGAAGGAAAGCACTCGGATCAAGATAAGGAACATCCAAAAAGTCTTCTAAAAGAAAAGAACTTCGAGCTTGAGCATTTGAAGATGAAGAATCAATTGAATGAAAAATGCAATACTGACCAAGTTGACAAGACCAATATGGAAAAAAAATTCAAGAAGCTGGAAAGTGAACTTTAGAACCAGTTTAAATTGGTATATGTCTCTGCAACTATAAAATCACTGGAAGAAATTTGATCCAAAAGAAACCCAGATTCACAAACAAGATAACCACAAAATAAAGGATCCGTGTATAAAACCGGTATAAATACCATAATTCAGCTGGATTAAGTCCCCAAAAGAAGAAAACCCAAAAAAAATCTGAAACAAAAGCCGCAGATCAATCGATAACTTATCTATTGATACCAGATACCAGCATTGAATTCCCAGTTCAAAACGTCACACATCAGCTTACGAATCCCAAAGACCAATAAAATTATCCACTGAAGGTGGCAGTGTGCATGTTACTAATCCCCAACAAAATTCAGCTGTATTCTGAGATTCGATGGACAGATTTCATCACAAGAAAAAAAAATTGAAAATAAAGCAGAGAAAATGTTCACCAACCTAATGATGAGAAGCTATGATATGATGAGTTCAAGTAATGGCCTGATGATGGCCTCAGGTGGCTTTGAATGCAACAAGCAGAAATGAAGAGGAAGAGAAGAGTGGAATCTTGTAGTGGATCAGAAAACGAGGCAGAAGATAGAAGTAGAAGAGTGAAGGTATGTCCTGTAAATTAAAAAAACTTCTAAAAGACTTTTTCTTAAAATAAAAAATAAAACAGTTTCCCAGTCACACTCTCATTCACAGCACCCAGTTTTTCAGAAGCCAGTAGCTGTGGCTTTGAGAAAGAAGCACCACAAGACCTCAAAAATTGATCAAAACATTCTAAAAAGTAAAACCTTATAACTCTGATTTTTATTTAAAAAAATAAAACAAATAAACAAACGAGCCTTGATCATTACAGATCCAACCAACACTCTGCTTGCATTTGGGACGATTTCATACTTTATTACCAAAACATATCACACCATTACAGAGCCCTGATCCTTACCTTGTTAGAAGAACACTATGGTGTCAGAATCTATCACAGAAAATCTTAACGTTACATTCTGCACACAAAATCAGGAAATGTACCAAAAGATCAGCCAAATCAATATACACTGAATTGCCTTAAATCATGATATAAATGAGTCCTTAAGTCTCCACACTATGTCATATGGAACAATCACAGGTTTATTACATCTTGAACCCATTTTAATTTTTGCGAAAATTTATTATAAGGACCCTAGTCTCTAAATCAAATTCATATTACAATTAAAGCACATACCCTCACCCACTGATTCCAACCCGATAATATAATAATATTTGACAAAGTGGTGTCTCTAATTTGTATAAAATCGCCATTGCTCCATGGGATTATGAAAAATTAAATAAACTAGAGAATGTAGAGAGATGTAAAGAGAGGAGCGCACCGTGGACGAAAGCAGCAGAAACAATGAAACGATACTTCAACGCGACGCGTCGTCGTCGATCGACGTCAATTTGGAAGCAAGGAAGGCCGGAAAAAACAAGAGAACTTGCTATGGGCCGAGAGTCAATGATTTCAGGCCCAATCAACTGGTCCTAGGGTAAAACTGTTGATTTGTTATTCGGTTCTTTCACTGTTTCTTTCCTTTTGTTGGTGCAGTGTGTTAAAAATTTAGTAGGTACGCCTAGAGTCAATGTTCGAGTTTCTATTTAGAAATGAAAAGAGGTGATAGAAACATAAAATGTAAAAATAACACGAAACGTAAAATTTTTACTTTCTACTACTTAAGGTCAAGATACAAAATTATGTATATGCATGTAAAAAAAATATCACATAATGAATATGTGTGTTGAGTCACTTATCTATCTAAAAAGAAAAATTATTTTTGATAACCAAGTATCAAAATTATAAACAGTGATAACTAACAAGTAATGGATAACGAATCTGCTCTAACTGCTTTATACACTAAGTAGATTTTGGATCATCGCTCATCAGTATATAATTCCACTTCTTTCAATGCACACAATGATCCAAAAACACAAAACAATTCTTATAGCATAACTTATAGAATTGCAGCTTTATAAGACATAATTATAAAAGACATATATCCAAACAAAAAGATATCAAGATAGTGTGCATATGATTTGGGAAAAACAAAAATTGGGTTTTTTTTTAATTTCTTTTTTTTAAATATTTTTTTAAAAAATAAATCGTTTTAAGTAAAAACGGTCATAACAGTAAAAATGTAAGTTTTTATCGATTTACGCGGCATTTTTACTAATTTTTATCAAAGACCGTTTTTACTTGAGTTTTAACATGCACCACTCTAGTAAAAACGTACGTTTTTACGTTAGTTTTTGACAACAATGCCTAGAGCTACAAATGGGTCAATCGGCTTTTTAGAGCTCAAGACTTGTCTTTGTTTTAAGTTTGTTTGGCTTGGTTTGTTTAATAAATAAAATGTGCTCGGGCTTTAAAAAAAGTTTGTTTAGCAAATAAGTGCAAATCTAATTTAATGAAGCTTGGCTTGAAAGTCCATGAACTTGCCTAATATATTATTATAGAGGAAGGTTATAGTTACAATCTTTTTTTTTTTACAATATCTTACAATCATATTTTAATACCGTTGATTTCCTCCAATCAACGGTTATCATTTATTGTGAATTAATAATTAATTAATGAGTTTAATTTGCGAAAATCATAACCGTTGATTGGCGAAAATCAACGGTATTAAGATATGGTTGTAAGAGGTTGTAAAAAAAAAAGATTGTAACTATAACTACCTCATTATTACAATAAATAATATATTTCTATGTTACTGAATCATTAACCTTACTTTTCTAACCCTATTTTTTTAGGTTTGTCTATTGGCAGGGGTGTAAATGGGCTAGGCTGGGCTGGGCTTTGCCCTTCTTGGCCTAAGCCTACGTAAAAAAATATTCAGTCTATCTAGCCTATTGGCCTACTAAAGGTTTTATTTATAGGCCAAGCATGGCCTATTTTTAAAAATTAGAGAGCCTTATATGGCCTTGTAGTCCCTCCTAGTGAAATATTTTTAAAAAATTTTAAAAATACTTTTAACAATTTTTAAAATATTTGCTTGACATTACAAGTCATTAACGTGTTCATAAATTGCTGCATTTTTTTACACGAGATATAAATTTCACTAGTGAGCATTAAAAATTTTACAATAGTAACAAAAATAACTATAAAAATATACTGAGCAAAGTTCTATTCATGCATGCACTAGTACTTCTCATTATTCATAAAAAATGACAAACAAGAAAGAGTCAACATAATACCTCAGGTTTATAATATATATCATATACCCTAAAATAAATATATTATTTTTAAAAATAATGACAAACAAGGCTTTAGGCCAGGCTTGACAAATTTGGCCTATGACCTACTTGTTAAAAAGGCTTTTTTTATAAGCTCAAGCCTACTCTACTTTTCAACGTAGGCCGGACTGTAGGCTAGGTCAGGGGAGCCTGGCCCATTTACATCCCTATCTATTGGCATTCTCTCACAATCACATATTCTCAAAGCTCTCTAACTAGTCTCTCCTTTCCTCCCTCGTCACTCACCTTTCACGGCTTTACCCCAACATTTTACTTAGTGCAACTCTGGTCATTTAGACATATGAGAATTTGAAAAAATACATTTTATAATTATAAATGAGCCAAGTCAAACTCAAGCCAAGCCTAGCATTTAATTTTTCATAAACAAGTCAAGTCAAACCTAGAATTTAACTCGTATCAGGTTAATGGGTCGAGTCAAGTTCAAAATATTTTTCATAGACTTGACTCGTCTAAGCTAAAGCTTGATTCTGCCTAACTCATTTACACCCCTAAATACACCTTTGTTACTTCTGTGTTCAACTTGATTTGAATCAAATTAATCAATGAATTGATTGAGAAATTAAAGAAAAATTATTGTTACTTTAAAAACTATTAAGTTTGGAAGTTATGCATCATTACTTTTATAATTACTTATTTCATTTCTTTTATTTTATTGTTGCTATAAGATAATGATATTGAATGTTATTAAGTTAAACAATAGTAATAATAATAATAATGATGATGATGATGATGAGATTTGTAACACTAATAAACGATGATTTGAAGTCGAATTAAACGGCGAGCTATGATGTGATTTCAATTTTAAAATTGGCGAGTTATGAATAAATTTTTATCAATTTAAATTATTCTGGTCCCTATAAACTCTGAAAAATTGAAGTTACACCTAGACTGATACATAATTGTTCTAGGGGAAGGATATACTTACCACAAAAAATATTTATTACCTTTATAACCAATTTAATCACCGTTGATTTCTGTCAATCTAATGATTATAATTTATTAAAAATTATGGGTTGTACTTATTAATTAATTATTAATTCTTAATAAATTATAACCAATAGATTGACGGAAATCAACGGTGATTAAATTGGTTGTAAAGGTAATAAATATTTTTTGTGGTAAGTATATCCTGCCTCAGTGTTCTATTAGAGCCTTATTCTTACAATTTATGTAAGGTTTTGAGCTTATATGTCTCATAATTTACCTTTAAGCCTTCTTGAGCAATTTGAGCCTGAAATTGATACATCTTCATTAGAATTATTTTGCTTATTTTAATTCCTAGGTTCCTTCTGAGCTTTCACTGACTAATCTTTCAGGTTTTCACTGTAAAGGAGGAAGAGACTATTATCTATGATGTAAAGAAAAGAAGCAAAGAGCATAATCCTGTGATTTACAATTAGGGGTGAAACTGGCTCGGGCTAGTCTACAGGGGCCTACGGCTCGGACTACATCAGGCCAGATCTGACCTAGTATATTTCGTAAAACAAGCCGGATTTGGGCCTTAAAAAAGCTTTTTAATAAAAAGGTAGTAAACTGATGTGCCTCTGGCATTTATGTTTTCCAAGCCAAAAATAATAAGAAATCAGTCATAAAAGAGCATTTCTTGTATATTAATTACTTTTATTAGTTAGTTTTCCTATTTCAGTTTATTTTTCATCTTTTATATCATTTTTGCAGGTTAAAGCAAGAAGAAATAGGAAAATTGAGAAAAATTGAAAAAGGAAAGTGGCGCTACCCGCGCCACTTTGGCGCTGTTGCAGCGCCGGAAAAATACAGAGACCAGAGATTTGGCGCGAGACCCGCGTCAGAATGGCGCTACCTGCGCGAGAAATCGACCCAGTGCAAAAATGTGGCGCTAGACCTGCGCCAGAATGGCGCTACCCGCGCGAACTTCAGCGTGGAGGCAATTTCGAACTTAAAAGGACGCTGCGAGGGTTCTTTAGGAGGACTTTTGACGACAGAGCAGAACAAGGACTCGTGAAGGAAGAGAAGAGCAGAGGATTGTTCTTAGTTTCTCATTGTAATTACATTCTTTCATCTTTATCTTTTATAATTTTATGTCAGCCATGTCTATGACTGGCTAATTTCTTTTATTGTAAACCCTTGTTACGACGGATTGGTTTACTTTTACTCATTTATATAAATTGTCTTTATCTCTATCATGTGCGTATTTATATTCTCTTTATCAGAATTGATCAATCTGATAGTTGAGAATAGTTTGAGGGTTAGAATCCTAGATAAGAATATTGGGGTTTTCATCCTGAAAGGGGATAGGATAACGGTTCGTATGCATGCTAGGGATAGATGTGTATTGAATTGCGGATACCTAAATTATTGAGTTCATTGCTTAATACCATGAGGAACATTGCAAGGAATTGGGGTTCCAATTGGGTTTAAAGGGTTAACCTTGCAAGGAATTGAGGGTTAACTATTAATATTTTTTAGATAATAATTTATCCGAGTAATTTTATAAATGAATATTGTAAATCAATCCAGAGTAAGAAGTGGGGATCATATGGTGAGTGTATCCTAGCTACAATGCTTTTCTCATTTTTACAAATCAATTCATTCTTATTCTTATTTTTATTCTTCAATATAAAAATATAAAAAACAAGTCTTTACTTTTAATTTTACTCAAATCGACATTATTTGTCACAAACAAACCCTTTTGAACTCTTCCATTCTTGAAAGGAATATTAATTGATAAACGATCACAATCACTGTGGAGACGAAATTTACTTACTATTATATTACTTGTGCGATCGGTATACTTACCGAAAGCATCAAGTTTTTAGCGCCGTTGCCGAGGATTGGCGTATCTTTTATCAATTAATTTGATTTGTAAGATTGGATTTTTATTTTATTTTTATTTTTGATTTCTCTGTGATTCTTGAACAGTGCTACTAATTCCTTTTCTGAGTTGTATGCGAGGTAAAGAGCCAGAATTTCCACTTGATTTGGAGATTACAAAGACTGAAAAGAGATACAGAAAACTTGCTCGGAAGAAGCTTGAATTCGACAAGTCAGAAATTCTGTCTGAAAAAGCACACAAGATGGCAGGGAATAATGAAGCGG